CCCAAGAATTCTCTCCCGAATAGTGTCATCTTGTGATTAAAGCATAGGGAGCCTCGCATCGGGCACGCTTGAGCAGAGGCCGGGGGCTGGCTGCTTCGGGGGCCGTGAAACGGGGGCCGCTTAGACCGGAGCTGGGGGCCTGGGCGGAAGCAGAACACGTGGTTCTCTGCTGTCGACAGACATAAGCCTACCTGTGAGGCCCACACATACTGTTCCTACATGAGCCAGCGTCTCACACACACACACACACACACACGATCGTGTCATTCTTTCACTCAAAATCTTTCAGTGACCATAGTCCATAAGCCTTTTATGATGGGATGCTCCCTGGTCCGGTCTCCCACCAGCACCCCTTACTTGCCTGTCATGCAGACATTTCGTTACCCTCACGTGTGCCGTTCCTTCTGTCTGGAGTGCTTTTCCCACCCCTTACCTGGCTAACTCTTCATCCTTAAATGTCACTTCTATGGGGACATTTTCATTAACACCTCCCCCATCCACTCACAGTTGTAATTAAAGAGTTGTTTCGTGATCGTAATTTCTAGAAACTCTTCGATTACCGTCACATACCTAGAAGCTCTCACAGTGCCTGACACACAGTAGACATTCAAGAAATATGTGAATAAGTAAATGAATGAATCAAACTCCTGAGATGAGGAAGGAAATGTGGCGAAGGATATGTAGGATGTTCAGTGTCAGGCAGGAGAGAAAATTCCAGGAGGAGGTTGTAACGAGAGGATTTGTGTGAAGACATGACACAGACAGGCTGGGACGGACAGGACGGGGGCTGTAGCCGTCGCCGAAAGTTTAGTTCAGATACTGAAGCAAAGTACTTTAGTTGCTGTGAGTCGTTATAGAAACCGGGGTGGGGTGGGGGCGGCTGCAAGTCGAACTCGTAGGAAGGCTTTTCAAATTAGAATCTAAGCTGTACTGGCGTTTGGGGAGCCTGGGGGCAGATGGCCAGTTAGGGTAGCACAGCAGTGGTCCAGGGAAGAGATGACACACCGTGACGTCGATCAAGAGGTGGGATACTCAAGGCAAAGAGAAGAGGCAGAATCAACAGTGAGACAATGAGATGAAAAAAAAAGAAATATGCATCAAGGAAGCGATTAGGAAAAACACTTCGATGAGCCTCAAGTTTGCCTTTGTCTGCTCCAGAATACAGTCTTGGCTTACTCTGGCATAAGCAAAAGGCTCATCGAGGTGTTTTTTTTTTTCCCCAAACAAAAGTCCACTCTGTTCTTGAAGGTAAGTTCTGCCTCCACTTCTTCAGAAAGAGACACGTTGCTGGAAGCTTTAGAACAGCATTTTATCCTGACTTGCAGCAAACAGCCTAGTTTCAGAATGTAGGGGTTCAGTCTGAAAGTGCCGATCACGTTTTTCCACGCGAATAGAATTCGCCCCTGCAGAGGCCCTTCTGGAAATCCATGCTATGGTAATGCTCATAGAAATACGCAGTTCAGGATTGACAGTGATATTAAAAACCGTTCATAGTTTAAATGCACCTCGGTTGGGAGGTGAGCGATGTTCGCATACACGCCCGTGAATCTGCGTGAGTCGTGCGTGCGTGAGTCGTGCGTGCATGTGCACAAACAGCATATACAGCCAACCCTTGAAAAACGCACACACAGCGAAAAATCTCCGCATACCATACGGCTGCCCCAAACTTACTTGCCAATAGCCCGCCTCTGACCGGAAGCCTAACCAATAAATGACAGAAACAGCCGATGAACACGTGTCGTACATTACGTGTGCCATATACTGTATCCTTACAAGAAAGCCAGAGAAAATGTCGTCAAGAAAATCCTAAGGAAGAGAAAGCACGTTTGCATATTCACTGAACAATAATTCGCGTCGGGAGCCGCGTTGGCCCAGGGTCAGTCTGGAAAACCCGCCCTGGTTCGCCCCGGGGGAATGATGCAGGAATGTCTAAAGAAATGAAAGATTTTAACGAATCTCGTGCTGCGTTTATAATTAAAGAGGTGTAAACTCGCCAGCTTTCTTCGCAGGCTCATTGGCCAGAGGCCTCCTCGGCCCTTCGCCGTGGGATTTGCGGGTGCATCGCCCAGTTTTCCCTTCGCTTCGCGCTGCAGGATCCTTCGTGATGGTTGTTAAATGCGGATCCCTCGGCTCAGTGGGTCGTGAGTCAGTGAGTCTGGGGTGCGGGCCTGAGCCTTGATCTTTCGAGGCGCCCCAAGGGCTCGGAGAAACCCCGCGTTCGGGGGAACAACGGCCGCTTGCGCCCCTCCCCCTGGTTTCCCTCCGTGCTTAGCAAGGGCCGTGACGTTGCGATGACTCACCGTGGTGTCTTTGTGGGTCACAAATGGTTGGGTTCATCCGAACGGGGAAGAAAATGAAGGAAAAAAAAAAAAAACCGCGCAGCGGGCCTGAGATTTTAGTGATCGGCGTTGTTTCTTTAAAGTCGTGTCTTCGGAGGGGGCCTTTTGAGTTAGAGGAGGCGTCTTTCGTGGTGGCTCCTCAGTTCCAAGTGGAAGGGAGGAGGGACCTTGGCCCCTGCGAGGTCTCAGCATTCAGAGGACTTGTGAGCGAAGAAGCTTCAGCCCTTGGAAAATGACGCCTCTCGTGTTAGAGACCAGGTGCTTTCTTAAGACTACCCTAAAGTTTTTGCTTAGGATCGTTGTCTTTGTTATAAACAAAGCCCGTTAATCAGATGCCCACTGTGTGCCATTAACATCTTGAAAGGGTGTTTAAAATACATATATCCCAAGTGCTCCCAACAATTAACCTTGGTAAGAAAGTGGATGCGAATCCTCGTTAGCGACCTTTCCAAGCCCTGCGCGAAGCCGCAGCCAGCAGTTCAATAACCCATTAGGTTTATTAGTTTGAGAACGGAAGCGTCGACTTGGGCACAGTTTTCTAATTTGCTCCTCATTTACCCAACGATCATTTATTCAGAGGCTACTGTGTGCCTAGTGGACATTAGATAACTCTACAAATAGAAGCCAGAGACTGACGAGCGGCCGGAACTCTGAGGGCATCATCTGAATGGGAAAAACTGAAGAAAACACAATTTAATAGACTTGAAAGCTTAGCATGTAGAAAGCAGAAAAATGGATCCCTTAGAGCGATGGCCTTGTTCTGTGACTGTAGTCTATTTTAAGTGGGCCCTCTGGCCCCGGCGTTATCAACCTTGGATTAGGAGCTTCGAGGAAATGGTGGTTTGCTGGTTGTTTTTTTAAAGGATTTTTTTTTTTTAAGAAACGTAGTTACTAAGCAACTGCCATGACCTGCTGCTAAGTCGCGAGAGGGGGGATCGGCTTAGACAGAGATGGGGTGTGTGTTTGTTTTTTCTTCTGGGTTCAATGCGTCTTTCTGCCTTTTCCTCACCTTCCCCAGGAAAGGGCCACGTGATCAGGAATCCCTCGGTCTCACCCGATTCTCCTCTTAGCCACTGGAGAGGGCCCACCACCCTCTGCCTTTAGATTAGGACACCTCATCGATATTGTTTGTTGCCTTGCAACCCTCAGAACAGGGACATTGTCCAGCTGCTGACTCCTCCCCCTCCCCCGCCAACATGTAAATGGGTGACTCAGGGACTTAACTGCTTCCTGTCGGATTTCAGGGATGGGGGAGGTAATGAGGACAAATCACCGTAACGCCAGCGTGTGCTCAGTGAAAGCACATGAGTTTAACATGGCTTCCTGGGTACCAGAGTGGACACACAGAAACTTTGTTGGGCAGAGGCTCTCTCTGCGGGTTAGAACTCCATCTCCCCTCCCCCGTGGGCTTTTAGCGTGTCCCTTTATACCCAGCTGAAGGTCAGGTCGCTCTGCTGAGGTGTTTTGTTTTCTGCTGGTACAGTCACAAGGACTAGATGGGGCTGCTTCTTGCCAGCCCTCTGGTGCATGAAAATGCTTTTGTGGAATTCTTTTTCCCTGGAAATGTGTTTGTTTGTTTGTTTGTTTGTTTTGAAAGCAGTTTCCCAGCGTTCAAAGCCTAGTATCAATTTTGACTTCCTTGAAACTCAGCTTGTCATGGTGAAGTTTGCCTGCTTTCTACGATTTCCTCAGCCCGCGCCTTAGATCAGTGCTATTTTATGTGGCAATTATAGACCTGGAAAATGCTGGTTGAGACTCTGTGTGTGTGTGTGTGTGTGTGTGTGTGTGTGTGTGAGAGAGTGAGTGTATCCGTGTGTGATAAATGTGAATATCATATTCTAAATGTACTAGGAAAATGTCATAGCAAAGCAGCCCTATAAAATGCCTTTTATTAATAAAGTTATAACGGCTAGAGTTAATTGTTCTGTATCAGGTTTCCTTAAATTTGGCATAGACATGTAGTCACCTTTTCAGAGTGACGAGGTGTTCCGGGCTGTCGCGATAATGTCCGTGGGCCTCGAAGCTGGCCGTGGACTTCGGATCCCACCGACTAGGTGATTTGGGAACAGAGAGGGGTTAGCGGACTTCGAGGTTTGGGAGAAAAGTTGCGTTTTAACGTTTAATTGTTACGGAAGCCGAAGGCCCTGTGTCCAAAGGGAGCTAAGTCGGGAGAGGAGGGCTTCGTGATCTCATCGGACTGTGAGGTGTGTCCGTTTTGACCTCGGCGCCCCTCAAAAAAACGTCATCTAGAGACAAACCGTCTGCCTTGGCGAACAGCGGTACCGCGGCCGCGGGGCCATCTGTTCCCCGCAGTCCACTTTTCGGGAGAGTCTCCCTTCCCATCTGCCGTCCCCAGGCCCCAGCAGCCTCAGTAGGTCTCTTGCCAGTGGTTAAATTTTGTAAGGATCAGTGAGATTTCAAGGCACATTAAAAAAGCTTTTTCCAGTCGCTAGGGCCAAATGTTCTCTCTTTTTCAGGTGTAGCCTTTCCTTCTGCCTCTCTGTCCTCGGAGGGGGGACTCTGCCCGTGAAGCGAAGATGGACTGGGCTGGCTCTGGCTGCTCACAGGCCAAGTGGCCTCCGGCCGTCGGGCCACCAGCATGTGGGCGCGGTGCCGCTCGGCTTCATTCTTTCCCCATCTTTTCCTTTGTCTTCCCGACAGAGTACAGTCGCTTTGAATCCAAGATACATGACTTGCGGGAACAAATGATGAACAGCAGCATGAGCTCCGGGTCCGGGTCCCTCCGAACAAGCGAGAAGAGGTCCCTGTACGTCAGGTAAGGCGCCCTCGGGAGCAGCAGGCCGACCCAGCCCTTCCTGTTTGCCCAGCGGGGCAGGGAGTGTGTCCGCCCAGCACTGAGACAACACTGTGCACTTGGTGACTTGGTGGTCACCGTCCCCTCCCTGTCGCGAGCTGCCTTCTTCCGTTTAGCTCATGAGTGACTCAGTACAGGAACATTTCAGTTTGCTCTGGTTGTAAAAGACTCCGGCGCCGGTCTCTGCGAAGGGCTGGCGGGTCACTGCAGTCTTGCTTTTCAAATCGTCTGCTCAGTCCCCGCTGCAGGCACCTGCTGTGCCCCTCCCAGGCCATGGGACTATGGGACATGGGACGGGACGGCGCGCCTGTCCCCGGGAGGGTGGGCGGAGGGAGCCGACGCAGTGTTTGGGGTGTACTGCTGCTCAAGGCATTCCGAGCCGTTGTCCTCGGCAGAGCTTTGGACCCTCGAAGCCCGTCGTCACGCTTTGCCGTGAACACCGCAGAGTCTCGGCAGAACTGGACAGTCCCTTCCCCCCGCCTGGGCTGCTTGGCCAAAGTCCAGCAGTTGGGAGGACCGCGTCGTGTGTCTCAGGGTTCAGACCCTTGGAGAAGGAGCCGCTGGGGTCGCTCCTCCGAGCTGGCCACCTCCCTCGGTGTGTGTCCCTGCTTGGTGTGGGGTCGCGGCAGACTCCTGGGGTGAACTTTTTCGAGTGGACTCTGCTACAGACTGGGAGTTGCAAGGGGAGGCCACACGTGCGAGTTGCCTGGCAATGCGTCAAGCGCTCCGTCCTTGGAGTCTGGGATGATGATAGCCAAGTGCCATCAAGGCTAATGGCAGCTCTTGTCAGGGTGCTGGGCTGTTTTCTCCTTCCTCAGTCGCTGGTCCCCAGCCCTGCTGCAGGCCGTGGAGCCCGGGGGACCCGTTCTGGGTGACGCAGGGAGCTGAGTCCTCCCCCCGTCCTGGGCTGCAGTCCTCCCGGCACCCCCTCCTGTGGCCCCAGGCCCGAGGACATGCCCTGAACTCTGGGGAGGGGGTGGGGACCCCAGTCTGTTTGGATCAGTTCATCCAGTTCGTACCGCCTGTCCTTAACCTTATCCAGGTGACACGTGTTTCCTCTGAGGAAATATGGGTCACAGTGGTGAAGGTGCGTGATCTCTGCACTTAAGAGAAGCGTGTTCTGCGTGAGGCAGCGGGCTGAGTCCCTGCACTCAGCCAGTCTGCTTCGGGCCTCTCGACGCTTGTCTTCCACGTGTAAGCGTGTTCAAGTTTCTTCCAGTGTCAACAAGGAAAACACGCACTTGACACCCGTAGTCCCTTAATCTTTCATCTGTCCCTCGTTCTGCTCACCGCATCTGCCCGCCGTGTGCCAGGAAACACTAGTTCCTCGAGACGCAAATGGTCTTGCGCGAACGGCCAGGGCTTCGGGAAGCTTCGGGACGTGGCGGGATTTGACAGCAGAAGTGATCTTTGCTGTGATTAATGTCAGTGTTTCCCCAGAGATGAAAGGCCCCTTTCACATGTGCCCGCTGCTGCCATTTCTTCAGATCACCTGTCTTTCGCTAGGAGGGGATGGGCTCATCTTGTCAGCTTGGTGGTTGGTTCCAAGCAGCTCTAGAAGGTTCCAGAGGAGCAGAAGCCCAAGTCCCTGCCAGGGAGCAGTGGCGACCTCTCAGCCGCCAAATGCAGTGACCTCCGCCAAGCATCGCTCAGCGCTTGTCACTGGCTCTGTCTCTCAAATGGCCAGGCCATTCACTGTCACAGTCTCGGATCCTGTCGCCATGCACACCGTCTCTTTCGTCAGCCCCAGAGCTGCGCAGCAGACACTTGCTGGACAAGGCGCGAAGCTGTCCTCCCAGTGCGTCCGAGAGGTGGCATCTTCGAAGGGGACCCCGCGTCACCTCGTGTCCTCACATCCCGTACCGAGGTGATTGCACCCCATATCCCAGGGACAAGGGATGAGGTCTGGTCTGTCACTTAGGCTCAGCTCACCAGAAGAAAGAAGTTGCCGGTGATCGAAGCCGTCAGAACGCTGAGGAGGGCCCGGTGTCTGTCACCATGGGCCTCGTTTGTGCTTCACCTGAACAGCGAACGTGCCACGTACCTTGGCTGGACCAGGAGGCAAGGAGCCGAGCACAGGGCTAGGAACGCGGGGCGCAGCGGCTGCTCACAGGGAGGGGCCCCGAGTGTCTGTCGTCCTCACTCTGCACCGGAGGGGAGCCATGGCCGTCCGCCAGCCCGGGGCCTTTGCTGTCCACGGCGGCTCCTGCTTGGGTGCGCGGGGTCTCTGGCTTCCGGGGCCCGCCACCTTCTCAAGTCCGGCGGCACATTCGTAGAAATGGCCTTCGAAGGTGCCCAGCCGCATTATCCAGCACAGGGCGCCATCGGACGCCCCTGCGTCCCGGCGGGCCGTCACCATCAGGTCCCCTTCCCGCTCTACAAAGGAGGTCGCGCTGGGGCATCTGGAGTCTTCAGGCAAGAAGCTAAATCAGAGATAGCAGCTCGGCCCTCAGAGGTGGCTGGAACGCGCTTCTTGTCACCGAGCAGGCCCGGTGGCGCAGCTGCCCTGAGCCCAGGCCGCTGCTTGGGGCGCCCGACTGTCTCCCCCGCACGTGACTTTCTGCAGTGGCTGAAGGTGCCAGCGAGCTCGTGTCGGCACGCTTTACTCTGACAGAATCGGGGGTGAAGATAATTTCCATCTTCAACAGCCCAAGCAGTTTATGGCCAGGGCTGCCGGACAGCGCGGCAGTGTCCCCTCTGGCGACTCTGGAAGCGCCTGCTGCCGGGTCACAGGCCGCGAACCTGGCTCAGGCCTGTGCTCACAACCCCTCTGTTCCAGTGGGCGCCGTGAGCCCCAAACAGGTACACGCGGGGGGCGACTGTCCCTTGAAGGCCCCTCTAGCTGCGTAGTTGTACTCTGAGGCCTGGGACTTTGAGGTGCACTTGCTCTCACGATGACCCGTCTTCCGTCTGCCCGAGCACTCAAGTTGGGGCTCTTACGTTGTTCTTCAGAAGCTGCTGGAAATTTTATAGCTCTCAGCGTGCTTTATGTGGAGCAGGCAGGAGAGGGGCTGCTCACTTTTCAGGTTGTGCGTGCCCTTTGTCTGGTACATTCTGTCTCAGGTAGCTGAGGCCACCGTAACAAAACAGCGCAGACTGGGTGGCTTAAACAACAGACATTTCTCTCTCACGGTCCGGAGGCTGGACGTCCAAGGTCAGGGTGCTGACAGATTCAGGTTGTGGTGAGGGGCCCCCTTCCTGGCTTGTAGATGGCCGCTTTCTTGCTCTGTCCTTATGTGGCCTTTCCTGGGCGTGTGCAGGGAGAGGGAGGGAGAGAGAGAGAGAGAGAGAG